CTTTGTAATGAGCGGTTGGCGGTGCAAAGGAAAGTCGAGGGCAAATGATCTCGCGGACGATGGACCGACCTCATAAAATTTACGACTCACTCAAACATGAATGATTGCTCTCACTCTGCGAAACATTGTGCTTGCTACATGGCGTCGCATCGCGAGAGCATCGGTATCGCAGGATCCGACTGATGCATGACCACGACCACTCTGTCAAGAGTGTACGACGAGTATACGACTAGGAAAAAGAAGATGCACTTAGAATGTAATCTCGTTAATTAATTATAAATATTTTTTTACAATATTCGAAGCTTAATATTTTTGTTCTTGATTAAACCACAATAAATGTATTTGTGCTGTAAAAACTGAGACTTTAGAACTCATGTTTCAAGCCGGATGGCGTCATTTACATTGTAGATGTCTATGGGTTCTGGTAACTACATAACACATTGCGGTAGGCAGCGGCTTGGCTCTGCCCCTGGCATTGCTGAAGTCTATGGGCGACGGTAACCATTCACCATTAGGTGGGCCGTATGCTCGTCTGCCTACAAGAAAAAAAAAGCACCAGTTGCGCCGTGAGCTTGTCCACATATCGAAGAAAAAAAAACTTGTTTTATTAAGTTGCGTTAGAAATTAAGTCACGATGATTAATATCATGTATGAACGATTTCTTTCGGATAAAGTAGTGACCGTGGGCGAATTAGTTTCGGTCCTGACAGTAAAAATACGAATTATTCGTGTATTACACAATTCTAAGCCTCAAAAACTTTTTCAACTCATCTCATCAATCTGTCGAAAACATCGCGTACTTACTCGCTTAATCTCAAGTGCTGCAACATCGCCACATCGATCTTACTTAACAGAAGCCGATAAATTATTTGGTGACGCTGACGTCAGATCGGTATTCTGACTGATTGAACTAGATTTCGGAGCTAAAATGGCTATTCTTGAAGAATTACGTTCGCACGATGGAGACATTAATAAAGGATATTGTATGTCATTTCGTAATTTTTTAAGATCCCTGGGGGCTGAAAGGTAAAGCTCAATTATTTTTCAGTTTTCTTAAAAATGCTTACTTAGGTTTGCACAAGGTGTACATGATCGCTCATACTAAGCATCAGGTTGTGAAACGTTTTTGAAGGTAGAGAGACAGAAAGAATTCATAGTCAACTGAGTTCATCCTTCACTATTTATTGCTACATATAATTAAAGAGGGCAGGTCTCAAGCTTAAAGGAAACAAAACGGAAGGAAAAAAACCGCAAGAGCGCAGTCCAATGCGTTCATATTGTCTACGTCCGCCCCACTCTCGATTTCACTATTTACAATGACCTCAAAGTCGCCGGAGATAGGACAAGATCGTGAGGACGAAACTCATGGATGGAGGTGATCACGACCCTTAAACATGAAGATCACGACTGAATAAGGAGGAGGCGAAAAGCAAAATTTATTACAAAATAGGTCGATCGACCATCAACTATTTTATTACTCGAAAGAAAGTAGTCATTGTGATTAACACGATTCACTTAGTAATCTCCCTCTAACACTAAACCGAACACGTAATACACAGGCGGGGTGTGATTCGATTTCTCTGGAGACTTCACACTAACTTAAAATATCTAAGTTAAATTACCGCTAACATTGGCCTGGGTTCTCAATCTAATCCATTCCATTCAACTTTTAGAAGAAGAAAATTGCTGGATGTTTTTATTTTTTCCGGATTTTATTAGCAATCACGCGCGCAGATCTGGCAAACCTAAGCAGTCGTCACTCGTAAGAAAACGGAGCAAACATTTTTTTTCTTGGAATGCTCGTTCTGAATAAACAGCCGCGAACAATTTTCAGACTCGGAAATATCGGTCGTTGAAGTTTTGACGAGTTATTTTCCGGCTTCGTGAAGCGAATTTGCTGTGTTTCAAAATGTTTGTAGGTTTTAAGGTCGTTTTGGATAGTGAAATTTTGGTTAATAGTTGAGTTTTTGTGTGATGATGTGTGATATGACTAGAGTAATTTGATGCTGCTAATATCTGGATGTTTTTTTTTTCTCATTTCTATTACATCCCCTATCTCTTTGCTGTGTTGGCCGTCAAATTGGAACGCATGATGTTTCGCGGCAGTTTTATTTAAGATACGAAGCAGGCGTACTAGTAAAAGTCATATTAATACCAGAATTTTTTAAGCATAATTTTACATATAAAATAAATATAATATTTAGATGTAAAATCAGTTACAGATTCCGTAATTTTATAGCCAGATTCAAAATTTACTTCTTATACGTTCGATAATAAATTCTTACAAAAATAAATCATGTCATAAACTTTGGACATAAAGAAAAGTTTATCTCGCAAATAGATTTGTAGTTTCCATTTATATGTATTTCGTAAAAAGAATCGTTACGTTATTTTTTTGTAACTTTTCCGAAAAAAATACAATGAGGTACAATATTATATATTTTATTCTTATTTTAAGATACAAATGCTAATGAGACAGCAATGTGAATATGGTCGTGTCTATTAATCTTAGAGAGTGTTAGTTTTTGCCAGTCTTTGTAGTTGTTTTTGAAATTTTCTTAGTCCGTTATTGAAACGGGTCGTATGTGCTATTTTGGTAGCAACCCAGTGAGGCGTTTTAATTTTAGTGGTGAGAAAGCCATTATGCTACTAGTGTGACTTCGAACTCATGTCGTGAAATAGCTGACGGCAATCATGTTCTTATATTATATATATATTTATTGCTTCGATGTGTGGACGAGCTGGAACATGATAACGTGGGCAGACAACCAATGAGATAGGCCGAAGACCTGGTCAAAATAGCTGGTAAGGACTGGATGCAAAAGGCAAGAGACAGAAAATAATGGAGTGCATATGAAAAAGCTACACTCTTAGATGGGTGGATGAGCTCACAGCCCACCTGGCGTTAAGTGGTTACTGGAGCCCAAAGACATCTACAGTGTAAATGCGCCACCCACCTTGAGATATAAGTTCTAAAATATTAGTATAGTTACAACGGCTGCCCCACCTTTCAAACCGAAACGCATTACTGCTTCACGTCAGAAACAGGCAGGGTGGTGGTACGTACCCGTGCGGACTCACAAGAGGTCCTACCACCAGTCTTTTTTCTATATTTCTTTCTACATTTATATCTATTATATTCTATTATATTCTGTCTTATTAATTAACATAATATTGTCGAAACATTAACGGTGTAATGGGAATATTATTCTACCCTTTAAAAAGCAATAAATAAAGATATAAAAATTATAACATGATAAATAGATAAACAGGCTAATTCCCAATCACCGCTACGGCCTATGGTCAAGAGCAGCCAGGAAACTAATATTATGGATGTCTAGTTTACGGAACACAAGAATAAAAAACAGATCATAAAAAACTTGATACGATTTTATAATTTATTTTTATTAAATACTAGCTGACCCGACAGACTTCGTAGTGCCTCAATCGATAAATAAAAGACCTAAGCTTTTGTATAAAATAAACTTATATCAAACAAAAGGAATCCGTCCGACGGGGGACACGTCGAAGGAAAAACAAAATTGTAATTTTTATTTAACTGAGCATTTTCATATTTATCTACCTTTTAAACCTTCTCTGGACTTCCACAAATAATTCAAGACCAAAATTAACCAAATCGGTCCAGCCGTTCTCGAGTTTTAGCGAAACTAACGAACAGCAATTCATTTTTATATATACTTAATAGATTATTTTTGTGCTGTTATACGCTTAATATGATTTTTATTATAAAAATAGCATACTGAGAATTTCGTAGCGTTAGATTCAAACTTAAATGAGCCTTTTCAGACCTTCAATAGAATTACGTCTTCGCTAGAAAATGGAAGTGAATTTGTACAGCTGTGGGCGTTTCTGAACAAAGTAACAGATTAATTACTTCCGTTTCTTTGCTACAATATTGATCGTAATCAATTTTCTTGAGCACAATGAAATTACACTATCAAATTTCGTACAAGGACTTGCGCAAAATGAAAAAAGGGTGAGTTATCCGTCAGGACTTTTTTATTGTTATATAAACAAATGCTTTGACGATGCTGGAAGTTTTTTATCAATTGACATGTTCTTCTTCAACCGGTATCCACCTAATGCTGGGTGTAGCTCTCTTCATACGGACTCCATTCTTTTCGGTCTTTTGCCTTTCGCATCCAGTCCTTACCAGATATTTTGACCAGGTCTTAGGCCTATCTCATTGGTTGTCTACCCACGTTACCATGTCCAGTACAAGGTCTCCACTTCACTACTTTTCTGCCCCACCGACTGTCAGTGTGATGGCATATATGGCTGGCCCACTTGCACCTTCTGCGTTCAATTTCTTTGATCAGGTCAGTCAAACCGATTCTTCTGTGGATTGCGCACCCTTATAGGTCATTTTCAGGTACAATTTTCAGTAAGATTGACATATTAAGTACGTCTCCGGTCTAAAGCCTGAAACACTTCGCATAAGAGAATGATTTGATCAAGCTTAACTCAATCTCTCATTCTTTCATCAACAAATTTTAGTGCCCTATTATATTAAGACAGCTTACAACCAATTTTCCTAATTGATTCGATGTATTTTTAAACCAGTTTAATTAAAATTTTGTCTAATTTTGTAAAAGTCCGGTTGTCGATCAGTCAATACGCACGTCACAGAGCTCCGCGGAAAATTAAAAATAAACAGTGTAAAAAAGTGCCAACAAAGAGTGTCATACGAACTATTGTTTACAACAAAGAACAAAATACACGATTAGCAAAAAATTACAGAAAAGTGTTAAATTGTGAGAACAAATCAACCACATTATATTGTAATAATTCTACCCTACAAAAATACTGTGAAGTGTCATCTGATGCAAATTGTACATAGACTACAGAGTGGAAACTACAGTACCAACATAACAAACATCGAAACAAGTGCTGCCACAGCAAAAAAAGTGTTGCCATTACAAAACCAGTGTTGTCACAGCGAAACAAGTGCTGCCATAGCAATATAAAAAATACCAAACATGGAGAAAAGTATGGAAATTCTATTGGCAAAATTAGATGAAAAGTTAGACCAACAAACTAAACTTATAACAACTACAGTAACACAAAATGTCATGGCAGCACTAGACGAAAAGTTTAAAGCGATCACCGAAGAAAACACCCAACTCAAAAATAAAATAAGTGAGCTAGAGTTGAATTGAAATTCAATGAATTGAAATTCGCTGATAAGGAGAAGCGCAAAAATAACCTTGTCTTTTTTGGCATCGAGGAAGGAAAAGCAACAACAGAAACGGAGCTAGTAGACTATATAAAAGACATTATACTGGAAATGGGAGTACATTTTGAAACCTTCGAAATTAATAATACTTACAGGATCGGTAAAAAAGAGCTCGATAAAAATCGCCCTGTTGTAGTCTCACTCACAACTACATGGAAAAAACACATGATTCTGCGAAATAGACGTAACCTACAAGAAGGTATAAATATCAAAGAGGACTACCCTAAAGAAATAATAGAAAAACGTAAACAACTACAGCGGCAAGTTGAAGAGGAAAAGAACAAAGGGAATATAGCGTTCATNAAGCTAATAAAATGCCAACGTGCCATGGAAAGAAGCATGCTAGGGTTAAAAATCAAAGATAGAGTCAGGAACGTAGACATAAGAACAAGAACGAAACTCACAGACATTCTCACCCGGATAGACGTCCAAAAATGGAGATGGGCTGGGCATATGCTACGCCACCCCACTAACAAATGGAGCAAGCAAGTCACCCTCTGGCAACCAAGAGACGGCAAACGAAGTAGGGGTCGTCAAATCAGGAGATGGGAAGATGACTTGAAGCAGACAGCGGGACCATTCTGGCTGAGAGTAACAAGGGATAGGACCCATTGGAAGGAATTGGAGGAGGCCTATGCTAAAAGGCACACCGAACTTAGGGACCTCTTGTAACCCTATGTTTAGGAATGAAAAGGCTATTATTATTATTATTATAATTAAAATTTTGAAGTTTCTCAAAATTAATGTTTGTTGTGATTTACCGAGTAAGAGTAAAATTATTTTAAAAATAAAATAAATTCCAAACCAAATCTGTCGTATTTCATTTTGATAGATGTATATTCTTCTTGTTGATGAAAGATTCGCTCATTTCACAAGCTTCAAAGGGAGTCCGTGGGCGGTTTATATCAAAAGATGTCATCAATTTTTTTCGTTACTGCCCGCTGTGATATGTACCATTACATAGTATGCAGCGTCTGACGCTTGAATATTAATTTGCAAGCATTGTGATATATGATAGATAAAAAAATATGTTGTCTATTTCATTGTTTATGTTGTTCGCATACGTAATTACGTACAGACAAAGAACCCTATGAGGAATATTCGCCAATAAATTCATTAAAAAAAACATCGTATCGTTGAAAAACAGTTTTGCTAAATCAGAGATTCTATCATCCGAATAACAAACTTAGGAAATGCCTCGCCTACAATGCTGAAATATAAAAACTTGTTAGCTTTCAAATCTCAAGGGATGATGTTCGTAGCGAGACGTGCTCTGGCCTCCGCTTTCGGAGATATCGTTTCTCGCGCCATATGCTTCAGGAAATTGGGATTCCTTCGCAGCTGCTGCACAAAGACTTTAATGTCTTACGTTTTTAATTTCAAAAATGATTCAAAGGAACGCGACTAAAGATACGTCCAATTCTTATCGTTGTAGAGCGCTGAAAATAATTGTATTATAAAATATTATTTCGATAAGAAGAGGTTTAAAAAATAGAAGGGCCTTGAAATACGTAATGACAAATGAAATTTATGATAATCATAAGCAAAAACTTGTTCTATGAATCAAAACGAAATACTGGTATCTAAAGCAAAATTCACCCATTAGTAACTACATCGCGCTGCTGACATATCTTTTTGAAGTTAAACTTCTTTAGGCGCGTTATGAAAAATTGATGAGAGTGAAATTTTACGACGCGCGCGCCCCGTGACTCAAAATTAACAGAATGAAGTTGCCCACTAAATCGCTCATTACAATACGACCGACGTAACTTGGCGAGTCTGAATATAGCCGCAGGTGAACTTTCCGAACCGTACCGAGAATTACCGAATTTATACGATGTCAAGAAAAGGGATGTCCAATATGTGTGTTTGAGGATGTTGTTTAATCGTTTTTTTTTTCAAATTGATTAACATTTAAATAAATAAAAAAAGAAATAAATTTAATAAAATAAAGTATAACTTCTTACGCGCGTACATAAGTACACGCACCCTTTTTTTGATTTACTGCATTAATAACGAGTAGATGTCTAATATGCAAAGAATTCGAAATATTTCGGCGAAATTGTACCTATTTTACACTCTGCCACAATGGAAGCTGTCTAAACACCTCATATTATTCGAAATCTTTATAAAACGAGTGCTTTAATTTGCATATATTGTCCCCAAAAACTATTTTTCACTCGTATACTGGAAAAACAAATTGCTCAGTAGCTGCAACTTAATGAGTTGGTCAGACCTAATTCGTACCATACTCAATTCGAACGTCTACAAAGCTCTCCGAATAGTAGTATAGCTATTGTTTAATAAAGTTTTTCTTTTTCCTGCCTATGCTGATAGCCTTGAGAGGCTATTTGAGCTTCACCCTAACATGTGTAGGTGAGCTCACGGGGCTCAAACCGGAGTGTTGCTAACACTGACCCTAGCAAGGGCAGTGCTTCGCAGAATCTACCATCGGATCGGAAACGCGACCCACCGAGAAGATCCGGCGAGAAACTCAGTGGGCTGTGTCTATGGGAATAGTAATGGACACGCGAGAAAGGAAAGTAAAGATCTTACTTTCTTTAGTAACATGAGATCGTATCTTAACAACGAAATACATGATTTTTCCGGCTTGACTAGCTTTATTTGTCCATAAGTTAAGATGAGTACTTATAATCGTGTTAGCCGTACCACCCGTCTGCTAAAATTGGTAAAAGATAAGTAGACTCATTTCAAAAGTTTATTGTTTATAGAATATCCACAGATTCGGTAGAATCTGGCGCCAAGTTCCGTTCAAAAATCCCGTTGTAAACGGAGCGCCAGACTACCGACTGTGTTTACTGTGAGCAGAACAGTTTTTTGAGGTTGCGAAATTTTATTTAATTCTACGGTACTTCTGGTTCCTAAATTGTATATTATATCAATCACTCACAACTTTATTTTACTGATATTAACTAGTNAATTTAAAAATAAAAAAATAAAAATTTTATCGTACTTGGCGCGCGTCATTGAGTACCCCAAATTTTTCAGGATAAATGAACATCCTTTCAATGTTTAGAAATTTATAAGTAGGTCAACCTATGAAATGCATAAATGTAATTAATGAATTATTATTTCATAATAAGTTTTACAAAAGTTAAGTAAAATCGACATCTCATACGGGGTACTCAATTACGCGCGCCATACTCAATTACGCGCGCCAAGCACGATAAAATTTTTATTTTTTTATTTTTAAATTTTCAACAATTTTTTTTTTATTTTTTCATCTTTATGACGGTTTCTTGGTATTTTTTTGTATTTCACATATTTTTGTAGAGAATGAAAGCTATTGAAGTCTTCTTTTTTTTTGTAAAGTGCAAATGTTATTGAGATGAGTTTTATAAACGTGGACTTGGCGCAATTTTTTACAGTGAAACTGTTTTTGTTCGGATAAATATTACCCGTACAACAAACAAAATAAAAAAGAAACAGTTATGTACCTATACTGGCTTTGTTTTTTTTTTTCATTAGGACTAGTTAAAAGTATAAAAAATATGTATATGTTGTGAGTTGCATTTAGCGCTTAAATGAGCTCGGAGGACCCGGAGATCTCATGATTACGAAAACATACACGGCGTGTCATTTTCAATTTCCAGCGAATATAATCCCCAAAATTACTAAGGAATCTTTTGTTGGAATAATGCAAATTTAAAGTCAACAGCTTGGGGTCTTATCGTGCTCTTGTTGACAACAAGACAAGAATTAATGAGCTATTCATATCGAGGGATCCGCTTCAGACGTGTTTAGAACTGAAATTTAGTGATCTTTGTTACGAATTATTCAATCGTTTTTTTTATTTTTTTTTATTGCTTAGATGGGTGGACGAGCTCACAGCCCACCTGGTGTTAAGTGGTTACTGGAGCCCATAGACATCCACAACGTAAATACGCCACCCACCTTGAGATACAAGTTCTAAGGTCTCAAGTATAGTTACAGTTATTAATGACCGGCTTTTCCATCGATAAATAAAACTTATACATCCAGGAATCCGTAACCTTATAATATCGTTATACATATGGAACAAACGGAATTACATAATAATATGATGCAATATAGGTAACATTCTAAGTTGTTTTCCTTGTAGATCATTTGAAGCATTTTTAGCGAATTCTTGATAAAATAATCCTCATTGTTTGACTTTCCGGTCATAATTCTCGTCAAACCCGTCACTTACGACGAAAGGCTCCGCGAGTAATTTAGCCCACAGACACAGCCCACTGACTTTTTCGCCAGATCTTCTCAGTGGGTCGCGTTTCCGATCCGGTGGTAGATTCTGTGAAGCGCTGCTCTTGCTATGGTTAGTGCTAGCAAAGTCGTCATCTTTGAGCCCCGTGAGCTCACTTACTTGTTACGTTACGCTGGCTAGCCTCTCAAGGCTACCAACTTAGGTAGGAAAAAAAGCTTGATTTGAAATTGATTCATCATGAATGATTTATTTCATTCCCAGTAATTTTTTTATGCTCTCGATAATTTTTGGACTATATTAAAGCACCAATAATGTCATTAAATGCTTGATTTATATTCCAATATAGCAGACATTTTAATTTCATACATTACATACAAGTTATTCTGAGTTTCTAATCGGGTCAATTTGATATCTGCATAATAAATTCACACCTGATGAGGTGATTAACTTTTGTGATTTAGAAAGATGATTTAGCTTTGTAAAATAAGTCAAACGTCTTATTTCAAATGAATCCAAACATTAAGATTTATTATAAAGCAAAGCATTGCTAATGAAAAGCAAATATGAAATTTAAATTATTCTAAAATAAGCCTCGTGTCCAAAACTAAGGACTTAACTAAGTTAACCAGTATTTTGGTTTCAACTTTATTGTGGAAACAACAAACTGTCCAATTTTATTTTATCACTCTCTTAATAGATCGAATTGAGATCGTTTCATGAGTGATAAAATTCACATTAAAATGAATTCTCTTTGAAAGAGAAGTTCTCGCAGTGAGCGCCGCAGACGGGTTCCGGTTAAATTAGAAATTTTCTGCCTCAAAAGTCTGCTGCTGAATGAAATTACGTTTCAAAACTCATCGTATAAAACATCGATTTATATTCAATCAATTAAAACCACCGCGTTATGCTTTCATTCAAATATGGAAATCCGTAGAGTTGTTTATCACAAATTTGAAGAAAACAAAATTATAATAAGTGAAATTCGTAATATAGTAACACTCAGATATTCTACTTGTTTTCTAATTGTTAGATATGGGTAAATAAGCCACTATGAAGTGGTTACCAGAATAATTTCGCCGAAATTTCTGTATATTTATAAATTATATTATTTTTTTTTACATTGTGTGCTATTTTTATTACACACTAGCTGTACCCGTCCGCTTTGCTGGGCATTTATAATTAACATTATTATTTTTTACCTGCACTAAGATTCTTATCATTAACGCCCCCGCAACTGGTGTAGGAAGTCCAACACTCATATAAATATTAGCCTATCCATTACGTACATGTATTTTCTACATGGATACCAAGTTTCAAGTCAATCGGGTGCATGGTTCAGTAGTTAAAACGGAACATCCGTAAAAACCGCTGTAGATTTATATATGTATAGATATATACAATATAATAAACATAATGTAAAGTAGATGAGGTTTAATAGTTTATCATCAACAAACACTACCTTTACTCC